CTTGACAATAACTAGCCATTTAGGGCCCTAATCCTCTAAAAATGTATATAATCCCGCTTCAAAGCTGCCCAAGGCCCCTTCCACACAGCTGTAAAAATTCACATTGAAATGAATTATATGGCAGTTTGGATTCAAATAACCCAGTTCAAAGCAGATATTATGGATTATCCGCCTTGATATTCTGGGTTATATGGCTGTGTGGAAGGGCCCCAAGTTGTCAGCCATCACATACATACAGTGTATTTCATAGTTGAGCTATGTGCTCTGTGAAGAATTACTTCCTGTTATCTGTCCTGAATCTCCTACGAGCCAAAGTCTGTGTATGACTTTAGGTTCTGGTGATATGAGAGACAGAAAAGGAGATAGATACCCCTTCCACATACCTGTATAAAATCCATATTGAACTGGATTATATGACAGTGTGGACTCAGATAATCTAGTTCAAAACAGATATTGTGGATTATTTGCCTTGATATTCTAGGTTATATGGCTGTGTGGAAGGGCCCAGATAGAGAGACACAAAGGCCAGATCCAGACAGGCCCTTGCCCCAGAAGCATCCATGTTAAAATAACATGGATGTTTCTGGGGGCCTGTCCATACCCATCCCAGAAAGCATGCACTTTCTGTGGTGGGTTGTTCACAAGTTATCTCAGGAGTAGCCCAAGAGAACATGTGGAGACCCTACCTGCCCCTCCACCCAAGCCCCCAGACCTCTTAGAAAATTAAGAAAAACTTACGTGCCCTCCATTTGAAGCCCCAGCGGGCTCTCCCAGTGTGTAGAAATGATGTGCCAGGAGAGGGGGGGGGGGAAGGAGTGATTTTCCTCCCTTCTCCCCCTCCTCCCACTCTCCTGGCACATCATTTCTATGCATCAGGGGCTTCATATGGAGGGCACATAAAGTTTTTCTTAGTTTTCTAAGGGATCTAGGGGCTTGGGGGGAGGGGGTTGGGAATATTATCTGGACTGCAGTAATCTGCAGTCCAGACACCGGAGACAATGGATTTATCCCATGCCTTCCACTATGAAATTAATTTGCTACAAACCAGGGTTTTCCTGGTTTCCGCTATCAAATTAATTTGCTACAAACCAGGGTTTTCCTGGTTTGTAGCAAATTAATGCGGGACTTTCCAGAATGTTGTTTGGACAGCCCCTCCTTTATTGCAGGAGTTCCCACAATAAAGGCCCTGTCTTGACAGGCCCAAAGAGAGCAGTGTGTGTGAGAGACCATTCCTTTCACATCATACACAATTTTATATGCACTGTCATTTTCACCACATCATTCCCAATGTTTTAGCATTGGGGTGAGTCTCCTTATTCACCTCTTCTCTAAGCCAAAAAGCCCCAGAGGTTGCAACCTTTTCTTACAGAAGAGTTGTTCTTGTCCCTTGATCATTTGTATTGCCATTTCCTGACCTTTCCCAGCTCCACAATATCCTTTAAAAAACATTCCTGATGTATCGTGCTTGTTTACTTGGTTTCACACTATATGTCCAGGGATTTCCAAGTATATTTGCCTGCATAGTAAACAAAGGCTGAACAATTTATTTTGCTTGGCTAGAATTCCCAGAAATCTCTCAGCCAAGATGCATACTGGGTATTATTAAACAACCACCCACATTCAGTATTATTGCACAGGTGCAAAGTGTCTATTTATGGTTATTCAGTGGTAAGGGCACTATTACAATAAGTGTACTTTAGTATATGAGAAACTATGAGTGTGAGGGATGAGGTTATTCTTTGGGCAGCATCCTATTTTAACACACATAAATCTGTGTCCAATGTACACTTACATACATTGTGATTTGGTACACTATGATTCTAGTATCCATGAAGGTACATTCCTAAACCTACTATGGAAACAGAAAAACGTGGATAACAGCAAACCCTGTTGAAATAACTTCCACTGGATGTTACCATAGAGTTCCCATAGGGGACCTGGAAAATTCCTAGAATATTGTCTCCAGGAATTTGCTAGGTCCTCCCAGGCAATTCTGTGGTAGCTTCCAGCAGAATTATAATTTGGGACCTCATCACATTTAAAGAGACTGATGTTTTTATATTGTTTAAATATTGTTTTTATTATAATATGTATATTGATGCTTTTTCTTGTTGTGGGCACTGTGCTGTGCCGGTTGTTAGCCACCCTGAGCCCCTCTGCGGAGATTTAGATAGGATGGGATATAAATGCCCTAAATAAATAAATAAATAAAAGAGGGAAAGTGGGGGAAAGCATAGGGTATTGTATTACACTGCTCTCTCCCATCTTTCCCCATCTTTTGGGATGGCCAGCCACTTCACACCCTTTTTGCATCTTTTCCCTACTTCCTTCATTCAGGAGTCGGGTAACATTTGATTCCTGAAGATAGTTTTAGGCTCCATTTCCATGTGCTACAGAAACTGAGCCCCACCAAGCCCCATTGGAAGTGCCATCACATCATCTGATGGCCTCTGAGGGACTCCCGTGGGGCTTCATTTCTATAGTGCTTGGAATGGAGCTTGAAGACCATCTGATAAAATCACATAGAATTGTCTGCAGGATCTAGAAAATTCTTAGAATGGACACATTTTGTCAGATGTGGGTAAGGTGACCTCACAACCTCTGAGAATGCTTGCCATGAATGCAGGAGAAACGTCAGGAGAGAATGCTTCTAGAACATGGCCATATAGCCCTCAAAACCTACAACAACCCAGTGATTCCAGCCATGAAAGCCTTCGACAATATATTACTCTGTTGCTCTCATTATTCTGTGCTTGCAAAGCTAAGTGATCAGGGCTGGTTGAATTATCTTTCCTGTCTAGTTGTGTGTTTTGCATTATGGCATGGTTTGAATTAGCTAAAATGGAGATACACAGCCACAAGACTGTGTGCTCCGATAGCTCCCCCATGCTTGGTTTTCAAAGTGCTTCCTCAACATTAAGCCTCTTAGCACCCCGCTGAGAAAGATCTACATTATTACTGAAAGCAAAGAGAGGTTAACTGCTTTTCCCAGAGCACAGAGGAAGTGAGAAGTAAACACAAACCAAATCATAACCCTTCCTTTGGTTTCTAGGAGATTCTACCTGTCATGGGGCCCAGTTTCAAAAGAGCTAATTACCTCCAATTAGAATGGCAACTTCCTATAATGCCTCATAGTTGTCCTCCATGCAGAAACTTTTTAGTACAGGAAAGGAGATTCCACTTGAATATTAGGAAAAACTTCTTGATTGTAAGAGCTGTTCAACAGTGGAACTCACTGCCTTGGAGTGTAGTGGAAGCACCTTCTTTGGAAGCTTTGAAATAGAGGCTGGATCGCTATCTGTCAGGGGTAGTTTGATTTTGCTTTTCCTGTATGGCAGGGGGTTGGACTAGCTGGCCCACTATGATTCTAATATCTATTTTTATCATTTGTAGGCAGAATAGGTGAAAAAGCTCCCTTTAACTATTGCAACTATTTGGTGTAAATCAGAACTCGTGTAGGTTCAGTGGAATAAAAAAAAGTTTAATGCATTCCTTTCAAATGGAAGCTTCTTATGCTTATTTTTGCATGGGATTCCCCACTAAAGACATTGCATTTTTCCCGGCATGCCAAATCATGAATTCTACTGAATTAAAGGTGGACAAGCATCCTACTTTTCAGTGGCCTGTTTTATGGACTGAGTAATCTATTTGAAGAAATGGCGTGCGGAGTGAGGAGGAATGTATTATCTATCTCTATCACGAGGGAATGGTGTTCCCTTCTATTCACAGTGATTGAATCATTCTCTGATTAAAAGTTATTTTTATTTGACTAGCTGCCTAGTCCAAATTCAAATACAAGGTAAGTAATGATAAGAAGGCAGATTTATTGAAACTGTGCATCTAGAACTATCACTGAGACAGCTGACTGAACAATTTTACCCACCATGATGAAATCTGTGAGGTTGTCTTATTTCTCTTCTCCCCCCCCCCCCCTTTTTCTTCAACCTCCTTCTCTCAATTTATGGCTAGTGGCTACCCTGACTGGATTTAGAGGTTCAAGTCAATATCCTTAAAGACTGATTTTCTTTCTTATCACTCTGATTTGGTGTTAAAATACTTTATTAAGAACTCCCTAACACTGGGACCTATTTATATGGACTTGATTTCGATGGTGGCTCCCATCACACTCAGGAAAAGTACTTCTGGGACAGATCCATGGATGAACTGGAAAAAAAAACCTCTGCTGCTGTCAAAAAATTTCTGGTGGTGGATAACGGGAGGTTCCCCATCCTTCCATAAGGAAACACGGGTCAAGCTGGTTTAAACAGGCTTCCCCCATGTGATGAGGTGGGGAGAAGCCAAGATGGTGCAAGGTGCAGGACGACATGCCTACCAACACCTCCTGGGTGATTGCCGCCAGTCTGCTGTGACACTGTCCAGCTGTGTGTGGTCCTTGGGCATTTTCCTAAGGTCACCCAAGGGGTTTTCATGGCTGAGTGCAAATTTGAACCCTGCTTTCTGGAGTCATAGTCCAGCCCTCTAACCATTATCCCACACTGGCTGTCACAGACCTAAATAGATAGTTTTAGATAAGGGAAGGGATTACATTTTGAAAAAAGAAGAAGCATTATGTCACAATGTATGTAGTTGGGCTCAGAGAACAAGCCCATTCCTGCCCTTTTTGGTTCCTCTTCCTCTCCTGCTCTCTCTGTGTGAATCTATCCATCTATCTATATCTCTCTGTGTGTCCACGATGTGAGTCGGCAAAGGTCACCATGCAGTGCTGTTGTACCTTCGCATTAAAAGCAATGTTTTCCATTTGACATTCCAACTTCTAGTCAGGCATGTAAGCACAAAGCAGAATGCTTACTCCAGAATGGAGTGCAGTGGCTGAAAAGGAGATGGCTGTTAAATTGTTGAAGACCATAACATATGCTGTTTTTGATGAGAAGGAAGGAGGATAGGGGGGAAAGATGAAAAGAAAGCAGGTTGAACTGGGGGAAAGGAGTGGGAACAAATCTAGGCAGAGAAAATAACAAAAGTGTCACCAGAGGTTTGGCTCATGCTAAAAATATAGCACATTTATTAAAAATATATATTTATAAACATCAGTATGAAGAAACACAGATGTCAAGCCAACGGGAGAGAGAAAAGAAATGTCATGTAACTTTACTTTGCTCAATGTTTTATCTTTTGTTTGCTCAGGCGGCTGAGTGGAATTCTTGTTTCTCCCCCCTCCCGCCCTCCCACCTTGTGATCACACCATATGTTCATTTCAAATCAAAAGCTTGCCAGCTTCAATGTAAATAAAATCCCAAAGAGAAGACAATGCAGCCTGATGGACATGAAAGATAGCTACCTGGCTATCTGTGGAACATATCTTAGCATGGAAATGGTATACATTTCTCAATGTTTATAAGAGTGTCCAGTCTTTGGCTGTATTGAATTGACCAGTCCGTAGTGGGTTTGTTGTTGTTGGTTCTCCTCCATCCCCAAAAAGGATACTTACATATTTGCAGTCATTTATCTAGAACAAATGTAAAGAAGAAAGGCAGAGCAGCAAGAGAAAGACAGGAAGGAGTTTTGTTTGTAACTGTGTGAAAAAAAGTCTGGTTTAATTAATTGTGCTTCAGCTTCCACCGCCCACAGGCAATGTTTTTGTGATGTCGTAATATACTACAAAGTCAATTCTCATCAAGTCATGTGTCAACAACTGACAACGTTGGCCATCGCCTCTTGTCAGCTGTCGTCACCAGTTTCTTTCTGGGGTTCACAATGTCGTGTAGATGTACACAAAAATGATCACAACGAGGTTCAAAATTGTCCCAATAATCCCAAGCATTGCCAGGATAGATTCCTCCTTGCTTTCCTTTTCTTGGTTGTTTTTTTCTTCTTCATTTCCACTAGTGATTACCATCTTGGTAGCCAATTTCTTTATCCTTCTCCTCAGGCTAACCTACAATATAGAAAGAGATAGAAAGCATGACATGAAAAAGTTTGATCAGCTCTTCTGATCTGACAATGAAATGTACTGCTTAGATTCAACCTAGATACTAAGAAGAATATGTACAGTGTATCACCCTCCCCACCTCCATAACCATGTTCCCAGATCCCTCATGGATAATAGTGAACTCTATTTTTTTTTACTAGAGCCGGACACATACCATAGAACCACACTGGATGATTATTGAATATGTAGATACAGGGGGCATTCCACTTCTTCAGTGGTATGTGTCTCAGCAAGTAGAATTCCACAGTAATCCTTTCAACCTTTCAGCAGCCACTCACAAAACAAAGCACAAAGCTTGTCAAATGGAACACACGAAAATCAAGTGCAGTGACAAATGAACATCTTTTTCCATTGAAAGGACCATCTCTGGTTGCATTTACATTGTAGAATCAATGCAGTTTAATACCACTTTAATTGCCATGGGTCAATGCTATGGAATTCTAGGAGTTGTAGTTTCACAAAGCTGTAGTCTTCTCTGCTAAAGAATTTCATCAAACTACAACTACAAGATTCCATATCATTTAACCATGGCAGTTCAAGTGGCATCAAATTCCATTAATTCTACAGTGCAGATGAATCCTTATTTACATTCCTTCTTGAAGATTATACATATGTTCAATGTGACACTGCTTCTGAAAACTTGGAAACTTCAGTTGGATCAGAATGTTACAACAATTGATTATTAACATATATGGTTCATGTGACCTTTTCCTTTTAAACCAAGTGCATTGGCTGCTATCACATTCATGTGTCCAGCTTAAAGGACTTTATCACATGGGCAAATTTACCCACTGTATAATGCTTTCAGTATAGTTCAGGGATGGAGCCTGCTGGATCTCAACAAATGACACATAGCTGGTAGGGCTCTGTCCCCAAGCAGTGCTGAAAGCGTCTGAGCATGCCTGAAGCTGAGCAGCAATGATTTTCCCCATGTGATGGGGAAGGTGGTGCTGTGGGTTCTGTGGGGTGCAGGGCGATGGATTCTCCCTTTGCCCCGTGGGTTCAATGCCCGGTGAATCCCCCCCCCCTGTCATCCGCATTGGGCGACTTGATGCGATGAGGTCCAAAGAACCAGCATGGTAGAGAGAATTAGGCTTTGACATTCAGGTTCAAGTCAGCTCCAAAACTCTGGCAGTAAAATAAAGCCAGGAGCAGGATATTCTCTAGGACTACCTTGAGCACACAGGAAGAAAGGTGAGTTATTAGGATATGAATGAATAAATAAAATGTTAATTTTAACATATAAAATGAATGACTTGAGACTTAAGGTCCAAGAGTGATTGTTCTCCTTTTAATCCAAGCTTAGAGTGGAGGTCTTCTGCAGGGACCCTTCTTTCCTGATCCTGCAAATATTCATAATGTATCCAAGCATAAAGAGAGCCATTTGGAAATAGTCCCTCCATGAAATCCTCTCCCTCAGGAGAGTCCTATAACACATTCACTGCTTGCATTTTTATGGTAGTTACATCTTTTAGACTTTTGAGGCCACTTAGATATGTCAGCTGCAGTCAATATTATTGTACTGTCTTTCATTTGAATTTTAATAGGTACGGATCTCACCAGTCTCCTCAAGATGGAAGAGAAGGACTGCAAATGATTTCAAATAGATAAATAAAGGCTCTGTTTATGAATGAATGCCTGTCCCAGTATGCATTTCACATAAAAAGAAATATATCAGGCAGACACATAGAGGAAGAATACCCACGTATACCTTCAAAGAGATCCTTCAGATACTTCATTGTGCAGTAATTCTAAACTGCACAATGTACATCCCATCCAGACTTACTGTACAGCTTCTGACACGCACACAATATAATATGTGCTTTCATGCCCTGTGGGAAGTGAGTAGAGACAGGAAAGTTTCTGGCTATGTGCCTGCAGCTAGGCATGTGCAATTTGGCTAAACCCCAATACCATTGTCAATGTCTGGATTTCAGTGCCTCCCATGATCCATTTTTGGGAGCCTCCTAAATTCTGGTGAGAAAAAAATCTGTTTTTTTGATCTGGCAGCTGAAAATTCCAGGAAGATCCAGACCATTTGCAGCAATGGAGGAACTTCCTAGGCTCCCTTTTCTGTAATATTTTCTCTCCTCATATCCTTCCACTAGACCTGGGTTTAACTACCTCTTCACATGGGGCTAAAATTGGTGGCATGCACCAGTTTAGCCCAGGTCACCCATGGAGCTCGCTGGCTCCCATCAAACAACATCAGCATGGCTCCATAGATGGAGGGTGGAGGCAGTGTATGCCAGCAACACAGGAGGTTTCCTGTGTTGCCATTGGAATTCATAGGGGGAAGCTGCGCGCAGAATTCCCCATGCCCTCCAATGAAGCAGAGCAACTCCAGCAGCCATGTAACAAGGTGGTAAGGCATCAGGTTTAAGAAAGCACCCTTTCTGGGATCCTTTCTCCTTATATCCTTCAATGACACCTGGGTTTACGGCACCAGACTTAAGAAACCACCCTTTCTGATATCCTTTCTCCTTATATCCTTCAATAACACCTGGGTTTAAGGCACCAGGCTTAAAAAACCATCCTTTGTGGGATCCTTTCTCCTTCTATCCTTTCTAGCATCAATTTTCCTCAACACCCTTTCATTGAAGTTGAGTTAAGACACCTTTTTAAATACTTGTTTCAGTGGGAGCCACACAACCTGAAGGAACACTAGGTAACCATTCCTTAAAAATATATAAATTACCTCATTTTATGGTGGCTTTAGAAATGGCAAGATACCTCTACCCTACATTTGAAGCTTGCTTTGTGAATGGCACCATAAGTGGCAGCATCTTAAGTGTGTAGAAAGTAAATGCTTATTATTATCATTTGAGTAAAAAAGCAAGACAGCCAATGCAGAGCTGCAAGAAGACTGGAGAAAAATCTGTCTCTCTCAGAAGCCTGTTCGCAACAGAAAGATGGAGGCCCAGCTTGTCTAAAAGGTACTTCATGACTTTCTTTTGTTCTGATTGGCTCAACAGGCAGAGTTCACAGGGGAACCCTGTGGGGCGCGAGACTGCCTCTTTGCACACGAAGCCAAATGAAACTGAAAGTAGCTGTGGTCGGCAGCCATGTGGTCTGTTGTGGCCAGAACATCCGTGCCATTACAGCTGGCTGAAAGAGACAGAAAAGCTAGAACAGCCAGAGCTCATTTTTAAAAACTGATCCATGTACAGCCCTACCTGCAGCCAAACTCAAAATGGTTACATCACGGCTAAAAAGTGTCAGTTTTTTCTATGGTTCCTAATAATTTCATGTCTGGCTATAGGGACATAGCCAGAAGCTTCTCCAGTTTCCTTGAGGCATGGTATAGTTGTGTGGATGAGCAGAGAGGGGCTTCAAAGCCTTTATTATATGTCTGGGTTTAGATACTGTGAAGCCAGGAAGGGAATACTAAAGTCCACCCTGCCCAAAGAAAGGTCATACACCGGCATAAGGGAAAACATGCACACGCATGCCGCTTATAGAATGCCCATCATAAATTGTAAAAACAAATACGTAGCTTTTAACAAAGACAAATATATAACAGCAAGTGAGTACAGATACGTGAAAAAATGCAGTCAATAGTATCAGTCAAAACTTTCAAGTCTTGGTTTGGGATTTGGGAGATTGAAGTTCAAGCCCTCACTGAATCATTAAATTTACTGGGTAACCTTGGGTAGGTTCTTAGTTCATGGGTTTATTATAAAGATGGGGAGGAGGGAAGAGGATGGTCATATAGATAATACACAAACACATACACATGAATACTACCTTGAGCTCATTAAAAGAAAAATGGAATATGAATGTAATTAAATAGTAACAGTAGTAAACAACTAAACATACAACAACAACAATAACTATATGATTTCAGCAAGTACATTACTAAGCAATGGGCAACTGCGCCTTAGTGATATTTCTGGAATATAAATCCCATCATCTTTCACCATTGGGTTTACCAGGGTAAGTAGATCAATAAGCTAGAAATATCTGAACTAAATATTAAAGAGAAAGAGCCCAGTGGATCTTCAAGGGGAGGGAATTCCACATTCTCATTGTTACCATGCTAAATGTTAGTATCTATTTGTCATCTCTCTATTTCTCAATGTATCTATTTATGGATTATTTACCATCTCCTTTGACACTGTAGTCGAATGAGTAGGAAGTACTAAACAAAATATCAGACTGGATCCAGAAAACTGGCATTCTCTAGTTTTAATGCCTGGATGTATATTTAGCACAGGAAAAAAATGGAGAGATAAATATCTGGAACATGGCTATAGAGCCCGGAAAACTCACAACATCACATTGATTCTGGCCATGGAAGCCTTCAACAACAAATATCTGTCACTTTTTGTTTCTGTTAGCCTTCTCAGAATTTTATCGATGTTCTCACTCTACCATGTAGTACACCAGCTTGCTAGAATTTCTCTCCATCTTTCATGGAAATCTGTGCATATTTGATACATCTTTTTTCCTAATGACTTTATCTGCATGGAAGCTTCATGTATATTTTATATCAATGAAAGTATGTTAGTGTGCATTTTCCAAACATTTTTACCAATTTTCAAAACTGTGCATGATTGTGGGTACATTTCCTTTTTCAAAAAAAAAAAAATGCTGAAGTAACAGCCACATTGCCAGGGACTTTAAGGAGGATGTTTTTAAAAGGGAAATATAAGCCCAATGAATTCTGGTTATTTCCACACTTAAAACTGGATACCATTGAAACACAAGATGCACTCAAAGAAAGGACTGCACCCTCTAGAATAGGACACATGGACAACCAATAAGAGAATCATCCCACCAAGGCCTGGGCCATGTTTATTTCGTTTAATGATGAACAAAACAAGCTGCCCAATAGGGCAACTAGTTTCACCATAATGAAGAGACTAATAAAGCAATAGATTCAAATTAGAGAGATGTCATCCTTATTGATGTGTGCCTTAGGTTCACCATACATTTCCAATTTA